TTCAGCCCTCCATTTTGTATCTTTTACTTTTTGTTATAGCTTTGTTAGTGCACCTTTCACTAAACAACACTGGAACTGAACGACAGCATCAAACTGAGTTGCTTTATTCGAAATGTTACTCCGCCGTTAGTTAGTTCACGGAGCTCAAGGAGTTCAGTTGAAATCGGAGGATTGGCTGTCCTTGTATTAAAACGTTGTTTACTTTTAGTTCAACTTTAAACTTTTCATCTGCCTTAGGTGATCAAGGATTGTCAAAATACAGTCTTACCTTCCGATTGCTACTTGGCACAGTCGTGTAGGGGCGCATTAAGGCGTAAAGGATTAATACAAAGTGTTTCATCATACTAACATCCTTTGAAGCTTCTATCCTTCAAAAACAAAGGGCTTTTCCATAAGTTAAAATGTTCCTATAGTTGAAAGCTAACTTGTTTTACTCTGTTCTAAGCTTCAATTCAAGACTTAGCGAGGGACAATCAGAAAGCTCCCATTGGGTGAATACCCAGCACTATCAGCAGTCGAATGGGATTTTAGATGGCTTTTTTGGGAGGAGAAGAAACTGGACTCCACAATCCGAGTGGAATATCAGCGAAGGCAGGAGGGATATAAAAATACTCTTGTCACATGAAAAGCCACAGGCGGCCCCACCACTGAGGTGGAACTTTAGAAATCCAACAAAAATAACCAACAACGATGTGACTAAGGTACGTATGAATGATATAGCTTGTCTGCAGATTGTATGGGAATATCACTCTCAACTAAAACATGAATGTGCAAATAAAGATCATTTACTTTAAAGTTCTGTTTTCTTAGTATCTCATATGCAATTTAGGTGCAATCATCGAAGGAGAGGTTCCGAACGACATCGAACGGAGAACAGCCAACCTCACATTCCTGTTCAATTTCATTACATTGCATGATAAAAAACAATTTCATGAAAACCTGCTCTTTCCATCCACATGAAATGTTTCTTCTGCGAAGTTGGTCAAAGTTTCTGAATCATTTCAAATAATGTGCAGTGGTCTAGTCCAAGTGCAGTAACAGCTAGCGTGTTCTAAGCGAATAGGGATTACGTGTTTGAACTTTGAATGTTTTGCTATAATCTATTAAAAGTCAATTTTTGTTTTAATTTCAACTAATTTAAAAACAAGCTGGAAGCATTCTTACAAAAATTATGTCAACATGATGAGTGATATTTTGATGTATATGATGACTTTTTAACGTACGTCGTACAATTAAAAAAAAATGTTGTAATATATGTTTGAAATAGCTCAGCTGCTGCATCGATATAAGTATGCTTTTTACCTGCAAAAGGCAATCGGCGGTGTGCTGCAACTAGATGGCATAGAAAAACAAATGAAGTGAAATGAAAGATATTTGTGTATATTGCAGGGCGTCCTACCGCTTCTAACATGAGAAAAACTTCATTTGACCGGGTAGTACACGACATTTTCAGTCGTAGGAAGTCACTGACATCATGAGACTATTCAGTCGTTTGTCATCATAAAAAAACTACTTTCATATTGACAGACTAAAGAAATTATCAGCAATATAGGGTGGAAACAAGAAAATACTAGAAGCACTAACAAAACAGAAAGGAACAGGTATGAAATGGATTTAACGGATTTCAACAGAGGAAATTGAACATTTCGAAACAAAAGGAAAGTAATCAAATCGCAGTAACAGTAGGCAGTTATTAAAGTGTGCCCCTTGAGATAACAAGAATCCTCCAATGCTTTTCAAGTGGAGATGAAGGAGCTAGTTTTAATCTCATTCCAGCAGAGAAGATGATATTGGATGGATATGAAGCAAATTAATCTCAAACCTCCTCGCAACGTTGTCGACAATCAAATATGAAACGCACCACAGGCGATAAAAAACTCGTCGCTGTCAAATCATTTAATATTTTGTTCTTGATTAAAAACTAAAAACGCCTGCAAGAACGCTTCCTCGCCATCTTTAGTACCAATTTTTCTCACGACATAAGCATTTTTCCTTTAGGGTGGCTCGTACCGGTTTTCATCTTTTTGATGGTTTGTAACTTTGAAAGAATACAACAGAAAGACTGACCAAGGCCAGTTGAACACTTTTACGGGGTTGAATTACATAATCATTGGTTATCCAAAAATAAGTGTCATTTCGTCACTAGCAGTTTCCATGGCAACGCTTTCATAGGCTTATTCAGACGCATTTTTTAGCTTGTGGCTTAAATAATTCGAAAACTAACCCGGTGACCCCCTGATTTTTTTCAGTGATTGCTTTTGGCACTTGAAAAGGAAAATGCACAAAGATTTTTAAAAAATTCTACGGAGCGGAATTTCAGAAAATCTACAAAAAGGGCAATTTTCACACATCGCAAATTTCCTTCCGTAGAATTTTCTAGTTTTTTTTCTGATGATTCCTTTCGACGTTATTATCATATTGGAACAATAAAAAGAAGGGGTCACNCTTCTTCTTCGCTGTATTTCTCTCTTCTGGCGATTTTCAAACTTTAAAGTACATTCGCTTGTATTGCGTGTTTTATAAAGGCCGAAATCTCCGCCATTGCTGAAGGGGAAATGGTCCATCGTGAATTATGATTCATGCGAACGTAGTTCCTCTTGTGCTCACTGACGATAGAACATTCCCTTTAGCTTAACTTCATGAGCAGAGCAGGATGTTTTCTATTCTAAATTTAAAGGAGTTATGTCATGATAGCTCGTCGAGGTAACTTCATAAGCAGAAAAGGACGTTTTCAACTCCTAATTTAAAGGAGTTATGTCTTGATAGCTCTTCGAGGTAACTTCGTGAGCAGAACAAGATGTTTTCAACTTTAAATTTAAAGGAATTACCTCATAATAGTTCGTTGAGATACAAATGAATTATAGTTTTGTCTCCTAACATTTTTTTCTGCGTTAGGATTGGGGAGTTCGCTCGTCAACTCGATTGTTGAAACGTAATAAGAAAAAATTCACAAGCAAAAAGCTCGTTCTAGCGTTAGCATGGCCCATAGCGTGACGTTCATATGTCTAAAAATATCCTTTCAAAGATTGCTACAGTTTGACCTTTTTATCCTCAGTAAAGTTGGGCCTAAAGAATATTAAATCTGTATAATAAAAGACAAATTTCTGGAACCACTTGTTGAGTAGAGAGAAAATTGAAAGGCGGATTGGCGACGACGAGATTGGGCAGGCAAACCGATGAATCATAGTAGATACGCCGAACTGGATCAGACTGTAGCCTAAGATGTTAGGCTGTTCCCGACTCAGCACTAACAACACGTTTTTCATTGACAACGCAAGAAAATGTCACGGAATATAATTACATTACATGCCGGTCATACGACGTTTGGTTTTGGTACAAAGAAACCTTATGATAATAGGTTTCGAGTATAAGGGAACACTAAATGGGTGCGGAAATTGAAAAACTTTTGGTTGAGTTTTTTAAATTGCTCGAACTGAGACTGCATCGTGATTTTTGTGAATAGCACTCTTCCTTTCCTGCTTCATCTATGAAGATGCTTGAAGGGACTACCGCTGGCCACATACTGAGGACTCGTTAGGACCGCTGACCTGTGCTAGTCGGCCAGATTGTTTCGGACACTCGAACTCATGAACATCAACAAATATCTTGCAAATTGAACTTATTATCGTAAGTCTATTATATTGTGTTTTGTTTAGCTTTCTAGTTCGCGTTACTTAGTGTATGGATATTGTGATTTATCCTGTAGATCTGTTTCATCGTTGTGATTAAACCAAATCAATCGAGGAGTTCGCTTCAATGCTGTATCGATTTCAAATTCTCCTAAGAGTAAACATTATCTCCTTGAGTGTAATATTCATGATAAAAATCTTGTAAGATAAAAAAAGATTCTACACGCCACACTGAGTTCGCCTCATTACAATCAATATCAAACCAGCAGGGAACTGTTCTTGTTTTTGTTATTTACTTTATTCATATGTTACCAACTTACTTCTTAGTTAAGTGGCAGCAATTATTTGGTCGTTGCTAAAATAGCATACATTTACACTACTGATAATTTCTCAAATTATAAAAATCTCGCACAGTACTCCTGCCTCATTGGCGTACTCTTGCCTCATTGGCGTTGAGGAATTGACATAAATCTTATTGAGTTTAAAATAGATTTGAAATTCATGCGTTATATGTGGATGGACAACATGTAACAGCTTATCGCATTTAATCTCAGCCCAGATCAATTCAAAGTTTCATCGTACATTACGTTACGTTGCATTTCTGAATAGTTGAGTCAAAGAAGGAGAGGCAAAAATGAAACACTTGTTACGTTCTCACGCAAGTAACTTTCCTGCGTTAAACGGTATGCTTGTTATATATTTTGATTCTTTGCGATTTTCTCCTTGTTCTTGTTGGTTGACATGAGACCTTGATTTTGGTTTTACGATATTCAATGGCTAACGCCGCCTGATCCTGAGGAAGAACATTTCCTCTTCTGACATCAAGATAGTAATGTAATGTACGAAATGAAATATGTAACATTATTATCCTACCACACTTCGTAGAGTACAAATAACGCCATAGACGAGTACAAATATCACGCGGTATTTGTACTCGTCTATGGTAGAGTACCGGTTAAACAGCTTTTCTAGCATTGCGCAAGCGAAGAATTTGGATTGTAGTTAGGAAAAAAATGCGGACAATTTGAATCATATTTCCGACAACGAAGAGTCAGAATGGTTGGCAAATATAGACCAAAGTTTATTGGATGAAACGAACGAGGAAAAACAGCTTGACAATCAGAAAATTTTTTTATTTAATGAAGAAAATAAAAACAGCAACATGACAACGCGCCAATTCCGTTCTGCTTCGCATACTTCTGTCACGCACTCCCTTAATTAAATATCCACGAAATTCGCCCGCACTAGAATAACAGTTTGGCGTGTTGGATAAAAAAATAACTTATTAGACGTTTTGTTGTGTAGTATCACTGAGTATTTTTACTCGTTATTTGTATTTTGACTCGCCCTACGGGCTCGTCAAAATACGNAGTATTCAACGTTCATTAACAATTTTAAGAAGAGGAAAGAGAGCACAATAATCAGCACCGTTGCCATAGCCAACATTATCATCATCATGGATATTTATCAGGCGATATGTATTTCGCTTCCTTACACTCAATCATGCAAATGACATGCAAATGACAATGTAAACTATGTGTACATTTTAACCACTGGATAAATAAATTAAGATTTACAACCAATTTGGCAGAATAATTGCCACGGTAAAAGAAACAGCATGTGCACTGACAAAAGGCAGAATGTATGGGAACTCTTAAGAAGAAATTTATAGTTTAAACGTCCATGAAAAGTAGTCCCGACCAGAGTTTAGTTCTTTCCGATAGCAAAAACACGATTTGAGCAAGATTTTCTCTTCTCAAATGTTTCTTTCAAATTACTGATTATTTTCGAGCATTTTCCCAACTCGCGCTAATCTTATATTTTCTGGCTAGGTTGATACATGGTCCCTGCACTGCACCCAAAAGAAATAGCTTTACAAAGATACCAGACATTTGAATTACATCCTATCTGGGAGTCCAGTAGTGTCCCAATGTTTCTTTCTTCTTTTAGAAGATGTACTTGGCTTTATGCCGGATTATACAATAGAAAAATAAAACAATTTCTCTAGTGTTTCTCTTCTCTTCTCTTACAGGACGATAAACTTTAGCCAATATATCACATTGAAAAGGATAAACATGAGGGGAAAGAACAGCCTAGCATAGTCATCAATGCAATCCGGATCAATGAGGTCGAGACAAACTGTTCTCGCTTTGCACTGTGGAGTTCTGGGATAGGTCAGCGGTCTCTGCTCTATGTCAGAGGAGGCCTGTCGCTTTGCTTTCGATCTTTCGCACAGATGTGAACTGGGTTTCTTTGCTTTGTCGCTGAATGCACTGTAAGTCTAAAGAAAGAAAAACAGACAGCATGGAGGAATATAACTTTTGTCGGTACTTTCTTTTCCAGATTCCCGTTATTTATTATGGGGAAGGCCCTCGGCCGTTGTTATAGTTATCAACAAGTTTTTCTGAGGGACGGCAGACAAACAAAGTAGTGTGCCACTAGTGAGAAACTACTTGTCTAAGGAAACTAGATCCAAGCCAAATCCAAAACAGTAGCGTAAAAATTAAGAAGGACTTTAAAAACTTATACAGCCCTGACGAAGTTGTGTTTGAACCGTACGTTTTTCCATGCAATTACAACAACAATTTACAATTTATCACTTATAGAGCGCTATTTACAATGACAGATCAACAGCGCTTTACAATCAATCCTAACCCGCCCATCCCACCCCAGGGGATGACATCCAT